AAGGCACACTCACTCTATATATACTACTTTCTACATACACGCAACTACATTACTTATTTGTCATTAGTGATGCATTTGGCTTTTGGGCTTTCCTAGACTCAGCTGAGTTTATATGTATATATATATATATATATATATATATATATATATATATATATTTGCACACACATGTATGTATATTAATGTATAGAATGTATGTGCATATTTACATTTGTGAAGATAGGATGTGTATGTAATATATATCTCATAAGAGATGACATTAGGTTGCTAGAGTAGGACCTGCCAAAAATGAGGTATTTTGGCGCTGTGGCAGGCTTATGCAATGTACGAACATATACTGTAACTAAATCCCCATTAATTTTGCCCGTCGGATGATTTAAGAAATGTATTGCATTTTGTGAACTTTGAAGATGGTGTTTAGTGAGTGAGTGCACCAGATCTTGTGTGTTGTGTACATGTAGATCTAGCCCACATTCTAAAATGCAACATTCACAACTATCACTTTATATGGCTGCTTGCTTACTGATTTTAATGTATATTTACATACTGCTTGCATATCTTGATTTCAATACATATGTCAATACATTTGTTTTAGCTTTCGTGTTGCTTTTAATATTAATACAAGTCAGGTTTTCAATGTTTTAGCTACTCATTTCTATAAAGCAGTTTTATATCCATGTACTTACCTGTAGTATATGTCAATGTAGGAAAAGCATGATGTATGTGCTTTGTAAACCACTCTACAAATAATACAATGTAATTCAGAAAAGTTCATGCTTTGACCATATTCCACGAGAAGCTCTATTATTACACAGTAATAATTTGTGTTGGAAAAAAATGTATGTAACCATCTGTAATAAATACTTGTGATTCAGTTAGGTTTGCTAAAATCTCATCCCATAAAGAAACCAAAAGTTTTGTAAGTGTGACATTCTCTTAATTTATTATTTTATTTGATACAAGGAAACCATTCCTTTTACCCAGGAGAGGTATTGAATGACCAATACTAGTGAAATGTAGATTTTTTTTTTTTAAAGTCTAGTCAGAGGCTCTTGTAGTTCAGATCTAATAAAGCGGTTGGGGCCTGCTGCTCTTTCCTTGATGGCAACTCCGACATAACAGTCACTTGAGTGGTTAGTAAAATCTCAGTTAAAGAGAAGCCAAGATACTAATAACAGATTTTTTTTTTCATGCGAGCTACTAATTTGTGAAAATGTTCTTTTCAAGTTTAAATTTTTTTAACAGGAATATCTTTCAAATTTTACAGGAAGCGTGTGGGTGTTTAGAGCATACCGCCCACCAGCAACGGGCGTATGCAACATTGGCATGTACCTCTTTGCTTTCTCAATCCTGATCATACAATATATATTGATTGGACTCGGAATAATTTCTGGTCTAATTACCTGCTGCTGCTCTTCAGTCTTGGTAAGTTTTTTTTTACTTTATTGTATCTTTTCATACTGTTCTTGTACTACATATACCTAAAGCAAACTTGAATAGCCACTTCCTATAACCCATGAGTCAAAACCCCTTAATTGTGGTTTTCTAATCGGGGCTACCATCACAGGGTTTGTGCAATATAGTGGCAGTTGGGTGGCAGATGTCAACATTATTCTAAGAATTGGCTATTGGGGTCACTATAGTCACCAAAATAACTTTAGCTTAATGAAGCAGTTTTGGTGTGTAGACCATGTCCCTGTAGTCTTACTGCTCAATTCTCTGTCATTTAGGAGTTAAAGCACAATGTTTATGCAGCCCTAGGCACACCTCCCTGTATGTGACTTACACAGCCATGCTAAACACTTCCTGTAAAGAGTCGTCTAATGTTTACACTTCCATTATTGAAAATTCTGTTTTAATTTAGAATTTCGTATCTCCTGCTCTGTTAATAGCTTGCTAGACACTGCAGGAGTCTCCTCTGTGTGATTAAAGTTCAATTTATAGAGCAGGAGATAAAAACTTTTAAAGTAAGTTACATGTGATTGAAAACTAAACCATTTTGTTTTCATGCAGGTTGTGTGAGTCACAGCCAGGGTAGGTGTGGATAGGGCTGCTATTAAACTCCTAAATGGCAGAGAATTGAGCAGTGAAACTTCAGAGGCATGATCTATACACCAAAACGGCTTCATTAAGCTAAAGTTGTTATGGTGACTATAGTGTCCCTTTAATAAGAACGTTTTATTGTCATTTTGAAGTTGAGATAGTGTTTTTTTTTTTTTTTCTTTTACTGGATATCATGAGCAAGGGATCTTGTTATTGTAACAATTTTCACTACTGTAACTATTTATGCACAATGTGTTCCCTTGTGGTATATAATTCTCTTTAAGCAGTATGCATTCAGAGAAGCCTGCTAGTTAGGAAATTATAAACGTATCTATCTATTATCTATATATAGTGAGTGAACAACTGCACACACAAACCCAGCAGAGGGGTTTGCCTTTTTCAAGTTATTAACACAAACTCATACTCCTTGGTTAAGTATTCAGGCTTTCTAAACATATGTTATGGAGAGCAAAAAACGGGTCGCAAGAGTATTCTGAGAACGGACAGCAGCTAAAATCGCCTGCCCTTCGGTGGGTCCCCACTCAGAACTCAAGCTGGTTTTAGCTCATCTTGTGCCATTACAAAGAGAA